AAGTGCTTAGTACACGTCATGCCTCCCTCACCGGGGAGGTAAATATCCTAGTTTTCAATTCACGTGGTTTTCGCAAAGACTGAATAGACTAAATGAATGTTTTCTTAGTTGGGATTCGAACAATAGAATCCTCTCGAGACCTTTTCATGGACTGTTGAAATTAGTTTCCTTTAAGAAAACCTGTTCATGCGAAAGCGAGCAATCGAAATTTGAATATTGTTATCAAATATTCTTAACAGTCATTCTGGAAACGATGTCGAACAGTGACGACGATTTGTGTATAGCTCAAAATACGTTTGACATCATTCCTTTGMCGARCTTTGATATTGACTATTTGAGTCGGATTTGGAACTCCGTATGCCTCTGCCCGCAAATAAAACGATGACAAAGTCTGCAGATGAGAAAAACAAAAGAAAAATTACAATAGTTTTTGATGTTGAACTCGTTCAAAGAAATACGAGGGAAGGATTCCAGAAGGAACAAACTAAAGTACCAAATGGCCGTGTGTACGTGCTTGGATAGAATGGACCGAGGAGCGGAGAAATACGAGTTACACTATTACTTCTGATTCATACACGTTGGCCCAATTTCGACGTATAGATTCTTAGTTAAAAGTAACGAAGATGGTTATTGTTATTTCTTTTCTCTGATGAACACGAAGAAAAGCTGCGGGACTCGAACTTATTACGCGCTCAATCTCCCGTCAAGTTTTGCTAGTCACACTAGTCTTTTTAAGGGAAAAAATAGTTTAGTTTACTAAGTTTATTTGATATTCAGCAGGGAAATGTGGGGTTGATGAATTGAATCGAATAGCTGGTTATAAATTCAGCGGGCTATATATGAGTGATTCCGGTCACTCATATATAGCCCGCTGAATTTATAACTAGCTATTCAATTCAATTCATCAACCCCACATTTCCCTGCTGATTATCAAATCCCTCCCYGGCTTTAAGTTTCTATGGTATATACAACCCTATGAATAACAAAGAAAACCAAGTGAATTGGAAACTAAAGTTTGTTAGTTACCTCGCCTGCGGCCCTCGGGCTGTATATAGCGTAATGCCTCCGTTCTCGGTAACTAACTCTTACTTCTAGAAAACGATATTCAGAAAAAAATCAAGCACGTAGAAAGAGCGCATCATAGAAGCCAATACGGCAAGGCATGAAGAATCGCCAAGTAAATCAGTAACCGCAAAAATCTGGAAAAATAAGTGGCAAAAGTTCTACAGAGCGRATCCAAAGATGATACAAAAACTTAAACTTCTAAGGTCTCCCCTCCACAACAGATCGGAAATAWCTTGCAACCTATCGCCCTGACATGTACCCTCATGTAGGGGTTTACGCGTGACCGCCTGGTTTCCAAGATATCTAACAAATGTGACGCCCACCAATTCATGATACTCAACTTCACATCCACGGTTTCCTCTATCTTTATTTCCGTTAAAATCAAAATGTTTTCTGGAAGAACAGGTCTACAATAAGCATATAATCTATTGCTGTGCGCTGCATTCTCGAAGAGGTGCCAAAAAGGACCAGTTCGCTGTCTTTGTATTCCTAGAGTTCAAAAGGGCTTTCGACTCAATCAACCGCTCTATGATCGCTGTTCAAGATACTCAAAACTTATGGGATTCCACCTAGACTTKTGAGCGCTATTAAGCCAATGTACACTGGTACACACGATAAGATTGTAACTAAGAATAGAGATTTATACGAGTTTGAGATCACAACAGGCGTCCAACAGGGTGTCACACTAGCCCCTTTCTTCACTRTAACTGGACTACGCTTATATAAAGTGATTGATGGAAGTCTGATCTGGGATTCCCACTATCTCGATGTTGTTAATGTATAGAATACACCGAATTGTTAAAGACATCACCTGGCGAGACCATATTCCCACCATCATTCTCTATGGTGGCTTCCGCGCACAAAACGCCGTATTGCTGGGGGAGACTCGGCATTTCCGGCAACTAGCATCGGCACAGGGAATGTCCTGACAGCCACCTCGAATAACTGTTGGATCCATCTCATGGCTAACGGAAGACCAGTCGCCTTTTTTTGTTGACATGCTGTTCTCTCCGTATGAAGAACAATCACAAAGACTGCCTCTAAAGTCGCGAAGATCGACTAAGGCCGCTATGATGATGGTGCCGTTCTTTAATAATAATAATAATAATTGGTGGCTTCCGCGCACAAAACGCCGTATTGCTGGGGGAGACTCGGCATTTCCGGCAACTAGCATCGGCACAGGGAATGTCCTGACAGCCACCTCGAATAACTGTTGGATCCATCTCATGGCTAACGGAAGACCAGTCGCCTTTTTTTGTTGACATGCTGTTCTCTCCGTATGAAGAACAATCACAAAGACTGCCTCTAAAGTCGCGAAGATCGACTAAGGCCGCTATGATGATGGTGCCGTTCTTTAATAATAATAATAATATGTGGTATTTATATAGCGCCGATATCCTCTGAGTTCAAAGGCGCTTCACATGTATAGATCATTTCACACGGACCGCTGTTTAAGGCGCAATTGGCAGCCACGCGGCTTACAATCATGAGGGGTTAGTAATTAGTATGGGTTAGTAGTAAGGCCTAGCCACACACACCGGGAATCATTCCCTACTCTTATGAGAACAGTGGTGTGGGCTCTTTAACGTCCCTCTAATACAGGTTAGTGAGTGAAGTGTAGAGAGACGGGACCTCCGATTTTACGTCGTTATCCGAGAGGACGAGAAGATCTTACCATTTGCAGATGGAGAAAGACAAAGGCAGCAACTTCTCCTCAATTATTTTTAAGACCCTGAGTGTTGGTCCGGCCGGGGTTTGAAACTGCGACCTCCCGCACTAAAGTCCGATGCTCTACCTACTGAGCTAACCGGATCAGATGCTTCAATAGTTTCTTGGGAACTGCGATGTGTTTTTGGATTTCTGCTGGTGATCGAAATGATAGCTTGGGCGTGTTACATGGTTCTTCAAGATCTGTCTCTTGGAAATGCTTATTACATGATTATGAAACACCAAAGAAGAGTTCAAAATGGGCGCACAACCGAATCTTTTCTCTATATCATATGAACAAASCAAGCTTTGCAATGACAATATTTATAGTGATAGTTATATAACTTTACCAACAAAGATGCTATGAAGTCATTTTCTGGAACGTCATGAGACTTGAAACAAGATAAGGGCGTATAGGAATGAATGCAAAGAAAAATTGTGTGATTTTTTAATAGTACCAACCGTTGTACTTCCCACCAGAAGCTATGACGGCTTTACGCTCGATGCCTCCTCTGAAAACCGCAATCTGTAAATAGAGAAACGATGGCTTGAGGTCTAGTGCATATGTATCGTGAACACTAATCAAACTTATGTTTCTTTTTCAAGATGTGATGATCCTTGTCCAATAACGTTTTTTGAACCTAGATTATACGGTTCCCTAAATCAAGGYCTAATGAAAGACTGCATGAAATTTGGTGTGTGTACATGTCAAGTGACAGCATTCAGAAATTCGAATGCCTTGAAATAATTAACAATGCATATTATGGTACACTTTGTCACTTTYATGAATTGCAATCAAGTTGTTTAATTCCTTACMTTTTTGTTGAATAAGTTGAGGTCTGTCTCKATTTCTCGTGCCAGAGAAGACGTAAAGTTTGCYGTGAGAACAGAGAATGCAACAAGTCCGAGCAGCATCCACAAAACACTAAACAATCTTGCTGGGACTGACTTGGGGGCAAGATCTCCATATCTGTACAAGAAATTGTCCCTTTTTATGATGATTATTAATAGGATTGCATAGGATTGTTCTCAGACTGTGAGGTCAATTTGAGGAATGCATGGGTCATGGGACGTGGAGATCTGGATCCATGTTAGAGATCGCAACATGACAAGTGCGTATATCGTCAAAAAAAATATTTTTCGCGCAACGAAGTCCAGAATGAATTACTCTCTTTATTCACAATTGTTTTTCTAAAAGGGAGATGAGTCTGACAAAGAACGTATAGAAGCAGAGAATTCTCSACGCGGCGGTAATGACGTATATTCAAATGGTGTTTTGGGGCCTAATCAAAATGTCAATTATTGTATGACAATTTCAGTTTTTGATTAATATCTTTCTTTTAATAAGCTTCGTATCTCAAATAACAAATCAAGAACAAATAGGTCAACACTACCGTCAGAACGAAGCTTGTTATTGATGAAGACACTGACAAAAACAAAGAATTGTTAGTAGGATTATGTCAGATAATGCCTATTGTTCTACTGGACATCTTCGTTTTTTGAACTGTCTGTCTCTCTTTGTTATTTCATCAAATCACAATCTTTGTTCTAACAGTAGTGTAYACCCTATAATCAATGAAGGGAAATTTAAGCACTCAGAAATTCGAATCATATTTGCAACATCCATGCAACATCATTCTTGGTGTGCAACCCCCCGTGAAAATKTATTAGTCGTTATTTTCAAAAACCAAGTAGCGACTCATAAAGAGCATAGTCAGATTATCTAGAATACGAGCTTTAAGGCTTGCAGCTTACTTTCTGATGAAGATATCAGCGAATAAAGATTTRAAATATTTGGTTAATTTGTATGGGGACGCCATACCTTTGATCATCCAAGATGGCGGCTGGTTTCAAATTGACTTCAAAAACTCTGGTTTCCTTGATTTCCTTTGTAAATTTTATTCAATTATGGCCTTATTTCAAATAAAAATCACCTTAAGTTCTTACGGAGTTGAAAGAATGATTTATCCAATTTCGAAATAAAAGTAGAATAAGTTAAACTCCGCACAAACTAAAACTTTTGTGATTCGCCACCAAAGCGTTGAATTCGTCTGAAAATTTCCATACACACTATCTAGAAATATATTTAAGACATACTGTAAGAACAGCTCTTTAGCAAAAATATTTTGGATTTTGCGAGATTTTTTGCTTGACTATGACATCACATGCACACGAAGAATAGTATTGCCCGTAAAGAAGATTACTTCATTCAGTGCAGGTATRATAATTGCCTTCCCATGTTTCATTTCGGTCTTATAATGTAACTACGTTTTTTCAATTAGTTGTACGAAAGTWTCATATGCTACATCTTACCCGACCGTTGACATGGTAACAAATGCCCACCAAAATCCATTCCATGCCCCAGGGATGAAGGGTGTAGGGAAATTGTCAGGATTTCTGCGTCGATCCTGTAAAATTTGATAGCACTTGTAAAGAATACTAACATAAACCAGGGAGTTTCCTTAATTTTATCAGTGAAAAGCACGAATTCAAATCTGCAACTCTGTAAGTCTGCGCTGTTCTCCCATGAAAAAGGTTCATGAAATGCCATGTCGTCAACGGCTTTGGAACAACATGAAAATCCTCATATATAGAAAAAACATGCTCTTTGTTGTCCACTACAATATTCATTTTGACCTTGRTTCACACGCTCGTTCAAAACCGATCTTAAGATATACCGTCAGGAACTTATACGTAAATGCCGATAGAAATATCATCTCGTACCCGTACACGTTAACGGTGTCCAAACTGATGAGAAAAGGAAGCACTACTCGTATGGGGCTTCCACTGGGCTGCTCTGTGACCGTCCATACAACAAAGCAGTCTATATTATTAATGCCGGCGCTTTTGTGCTATAATGTTTCATCGGCCAAAGCAAGCAATTTGTGAAAACAACGATCTAACAACAACTTAAAAAAGGTAGAAGATAATCGAACAAATTAATTATCATGATCAACTTTGGTACAAAAGCTGTTTGAGTAAAATAGCATTCCATTTTTTAGMAAATAATGTTTGATTCACATACCCGGGATGTTGCTCTACTTACATTGGACAAACAAATCATACTAACAACCTCTGCAGTAGCGTACGGTTCACTCATCTCATCACTCATCTCTCACACTTTACTTTAGACATAGTTAATATATCAGTGCTATTCCACCTGTCTTTGAGTTTGATTCTTTAAAATTTTACAATTTTCAAAGCGAAATAATTTGTCCGCATTTTTGACAATCGTTAAAAAACCTACAAACTTTGGAGCATTTCAACAATTTTAAAATCTGAGTCAATCTTGACATACAAATGTTTACTTACCAAACACCATATGCAAATGCCTGCAATACCAGTTAATATAAGAATGAGTCCAATCACTTGACCACCATTTATGAACGAGCCACCGAGTTGACTCAGAGGTTTCTTCACATCTCTTCGAACCTTTATAAACATAAAACATCGGTTTGTTCAATCATATATGCATTATCAGGACTCATTCATATCTCTTTTTAACGGAACATATAACTTAAAAAATCGTCAATTTACGAAATGTTTAACAATGTTTAAAACGAAACATGCATTACCTAAGTTGAAATATAAAGTATTAAAAATACAGGCAATTGAAGAAATTTTCTGGCCGTTATTAAGGCTACTCCCAACTAACCGCTCTCTCGGCGCATTTGTGTAATTTTTTAACACAGAATGTCAATCTGTATACTAGGGCGCACGGAAAGACAAACAATTTTAAGATCACTTTTTGAATATTGGCTGGCGTTGGCCTTCGCGCATTCAGAATAAAGTCTTGAATACATCATCAGAAGGGTTAATGATTCAACTATTTCATGTGAAAATCAGACTTATATGGACATTTTTGATGCAGAACGAGTGAATTATAAAAGAGACAAATATCACTCGCCGTTAGTTGGGAGTAACCTTAACTACAAATATATAGGGTAGCTGATGTCTCAATTTTAAACCTTTATTGTGTCATAGAACTAAAAAAAACTTTAAAAACATAATTACAAAGTATTCGAATGATTTACGATCTGTTTATGCGAAAAACAACTGTTTGAAAACTACATGAAATTACCCGTGATGCTCCCGATGTAATAGATATTAGATATGTAATCGGTCAGAATAATCCAGTTTCGAATTCTCCAATAGACCCCTTGCAGTTCATGGGAATGCGGCTCCAACTGGAGGACAAAACAATGGATTCTAGTTCCAAAGAGGATAAAAATCTTTTGTTTTGTCCTCCAGATGAAGCTGCTTTGACGTCACATGCAAGGGGTCTATACTCTGTGTTAGCCTCATTTGTGCGCAAAACATTCCTAATTGTGAGAATAAAAGTGTGAGATTTCAAATCATTTCCATTATTTTTGTCTTTCTTTTCAAATTCCATGCGTTTTTCCCGGGCTATCAATGAAACAAAAGAATATGTTACTTGGTTTTGAGGCTAACACAGAGTAAACCAGAACTCGAAATCGGAGTATTTTGGAAAATGACTGTTATGCCATACTATTTCATTCAATACAGATACAAAAAAAACAACTTAAACATAATTTATCATGGTTCTACAGAAATTTACTTGACATATAAGAAAAATGTACTCGTATGTTTTTGCTTGTCAAAGGGCGTAAAAACGTTACTTACCAAGAAGGCGTATCCTGAAGACTTATAGACTTTAACCAAACAAGGATTCTTATCGTCCATATCTATTAGAATAGGTACTGCAATATCATTTTTTGATCCAGTGTTGGGCATATCTAAAATTTCTCCATATGTAATTTCAGGCTTCACCCAGTTCAAACTCAAGTTTGTGTTTCTTGATAATTTGTAGGTTATCGAATCGAACATCCCTGGAGCTGAGAGAAAAAATAACAACTAGATACATAAACTGAAATGGTGTCGTTCTTTTGTTATATCTCATGGATTTTCTTGTGGCGATTCCTTTGGCTCAAAACACTATGTTAGTTCAGGTTGAAAGGGTTTGAATAATTCCCTGTGAATATTAGTCATCGGACTTTCGCCTTTTTCGGCGATGTTAATTCTATATTTTGTCGATAGGCTGCCTTGGTATAATTTGGCCTCCCGCAGGCAACTTTTCCTTTTTCGCTTTTCTCTTGATTTGGGATTCCTGTGTTATGGTTTAAAAAATGATCGTGGGGGAGGCGGGGGGCGCACAGGAATAAAATAATATGCTTCTACCCATATCCCCAACAGGGAAAGCCCTAGCCCAGTCCCAGGTCTCTTTCGACCCGCTCTAGGATTCGCGGGAAAAGAGAGCCCAGTATAACTTGCATGCGCATGTCAGCTTTGTGACTGTGGTAATCGTGAGGTTACAATTCTCTSTACTTTAGATTGAAAGACCGATGGAATGTCATTTGCATTTGTGATTAAYAATGTCCATGGCACTTGGAAAACAATCCTATTAATTTCCCTCGTYATTTCAAAGGTTTGAATTGTATTACTGTCAGATATAAGTTTACTGATAGACGGTTTATTCACAACTCGTTTCGAATCGTTKCAAGTTAAAATTATCGTTGTCATTTCTACGTGAACATGCAAGGGAACATGCAAGGGAAAATTTGGATTGATCTACTGTCGTGACAGACGAGAGACAATGAGAGACTAAGAGAAACTAAGCCAGGGACAAATGTCTCTATTCAAGAGACAGTAGAAAATACGAAAACCAAGGAATGATAACAACATTTGCGTAAATTCAACTGTATAGTAGTTTTTTAAGTCTATSAAGCATTACTAGTCATTAAGTTTTATATACATGCGAATTTCTGGTGTTCCAACTGTGCTCGGCCTATGTCAGGTGTTCGTGTTTTGAGCGTCGACATTCATTTTTTTCTTCTTCTTTTTTTCTTTTCATTTCTTTTTTTTMATATTCGCAAAAACTATTTCCCAAAGAGGGGTGTCGATCTCGAAAATACGTGAACTATTTGTCAGTTAACGTGTTTTGCCTTCATTGTGATAACAAAAACATTGCAGGTACCTGAAATCAACATGTTTCAAGTGCGTCTTGTCTAATTTRATACCTTAATGTCTTTTAGAAAGTTATACAAACAGTGTTTAGACATCAAGAAGCTCTTTTTTCGTTCTCAGACCAACGTGCACTTTGCCTGATTTTGTTTGGCTTTTCGGGTGTTTCAAAGAATCCCAAAGACAACGGTGTATGGTGTATGTGATTATACAATCATCCTCAGTTTTGCATGTTATCAAGTTTTCTTGTCAGTATTTTGACGATTTGCAAATCGCGGAATGACTTGCTGGTGTTGCTCTATATAAAAGCGACGCAGAGGCTAGCAACTATAGGGAAGTTTCGGAGCATGAAATATAGCAGTTAAGCTAGACGGTGACGCGATTACAATGAATCATCATACATAGGCGAATATATCTCCGAAGTAAGTTGCCGCTAAAATATATCCGATATTCACACTATTATAATAAATGAACGCCTGCATAATGTCTGCTGCTTGGTTAGTTTATAACATCAATGATTCTTACCCTGATTATCATTTGATTTATTGCTTGCTGTAAAAGGATAAAAGTYCCAAWARTGYACATCAAATGTAGTCTGGTCTGAAGAAAGATTTGTACATTCTTTCGCCTCTGACAATTGGTACATACTCAACACAGCCATTAGCATTAGAGTCTTCATTGTCGCACAAAATTGTTTCAGGATCTTTTATACAAAAGTCACCGAAATTCAACTAAAGCATTTTAGTATGGATTAACGAAGAAATGATTCCAAATGCAAGCAAGCCGCATTGGAAAGTGTTATTTATTGAGTAATGAATAATTGAACACTAATGCCTTGGATTGAATATCAATGATGTTAATTGTCATATTCTGGTGACATCTGGTCTTTTCCCAAGCCACGACCCTTCGTTTTTCTTGTCCTGCATCRCAAACTGCAACATTCTGAGTCCGGAATTGGATTTGAAATTCTTCTCAGACTAGACATATTCTGATAGATCATGTGGCTTTTTGAGGCTCTGATAAATATAGGCGGCGAACCACAACTTTGCCGATAGCATAATACTAGAAAGGGCCACATTATRTATACTTGAAAATGAAGTCCATTTTTAACGAAATTTTTTTATGTCTTTTATCGAGTGCTTAAATTATGACACGAATACATTAAAGGTTTATTCATCTTGTGGTAGTTTTCTTTTATGACTTCAGTTAAGTAAGCGTTTTAAAAATTTTTCAAAATCGACAGATAGTCCTCCATAATGTCCTTTTGATCGCAACCTTCAAACAAGGTTAAGATCTTATATAAGGCATCAAATCTCATACCAAACCTATCGGCTAAGCGATAAAATTTCTTTTCTTTTGCGAGAAAGTTCTCTGCATCTCTCTGTCTCTGCTCTCTCATGGGTTGAACTCTTCGACAAGAGGTTTTAGCAGCTACTAA